CGTTTCTGGAAACAAACTGATAGTGTGATATCTGCTTCTTATATCATAAAGAGCCTAAGTAAAGGTGGACGATGAAGAATATACTTTCAATATCTGTAATCCAACAACAATTGCAACAATACCTGCAATCCAACAGGTAGGAAACTTTATGTCTATAGAAATAGAAATCAAATAATTATAAATACAATATTTTATAAAAAGTGAGCTTAAATCCTCAAATGCAGAGGTGTTATTAGTATTCAAAAAAACAAATAAGAGTTATAATTTACAGAGAGATTAAAATTGATCACTTGAAAATCTTGGAATTGAAAACTGTAAGTATTGAAATTATATTTTTAAAACTTTCAGCAGGAGTGCTAAAGAGTGGATTTAATCTTGCTAAGGGAGAATAAATGAACTAAAACCAGAAGTAAATCAAACAGGTCCTATGGTCAAACTGATTTGGTCTGAATATTTAACCTTGTTACACTCAGATTCTTCACCTGTAAAACACAAATTGTAATAGTCTTTGCACCTTAGGCTGTTGTGATTGCAAATGTGTACTGAGTAGGTACTCAACATCCCAACATCCCTACGTATCTGTTATACCACTATAATCTCATAAGGATATGGTAATGAGAAAGAGACTGGAAAATAAAAGCAACTGAGGCACACAGGATCAAATGCAAGTCTCTAACATATATCTAGTAGGAATTCTAGAAGGATAAAAGAGGAAAGGAAAGGAATGAGGTGGCAGAGTTTGGTGATGGTGGCTTTGCGGCAGACTCAGACACACAGATCTTTGTGAAGACATGACGGACAAGTCCAGCCCAATGATATCACTGAGAATATCAAAGTCAAAATCCAAGACAAAGAGGGTACCCTGTCTGACCAGCAGTGTCTGATTTTTGTGGGGAAAACAGAGGGAGGATGGCCACACTCTCTGAGATGACAGTACCCAGAAAGAACCCCACCATGTGGCTGGTGTTTCTCCCTCAGGGCAGCATTACCAAAGCCTTCTCCAACTCACCCATAAGTACAACTGCTACAAGATGCTCTGCTGCAAGTTTTAATGCTCCCCTGCATCCCTGAACAGTCAACTGACACAAGAAATGCAGCCACACTAACCACCTGTGCCCCAAGAAGTTTAAAGAAGGACCTGCCACCAGCTCTTCCTTTGCTCACAGGGCAGCCTCCTGCCCAGCCAGTTTGACCTGGGATCTCAATGTTTTTCTGTGGAAACACTTGGAAAAAAAGAAAAAAGAAAAAGAGGGAAGGAAAGAGAGGCAAAACTCAGGGAAACTATGGAAATGTATTTTTGGTGTTAACTTGTTTATTATGTATCAAGGCAGTGAAATTAAGTCAAGGAATTGTCAAAATAGGTTTTATGTTTTAAAAGTTAAGTTGCTGCTTTCATTAATTCTGATTGGTACCTCTAGCTTTTGATCAACAATTTGGAGTGAACTTTGAATTTCTGATCTGAACCTTTCATACTTTTCCCATGAATTGAAAGCTGGGCACAAAAGTCTTTCTGATCTATGACAAGTTCAAATCCTAGTTCTGGTATTTTATAATTTCATGATGTGTAAGTCACTGTGACTTGGTTTCCTCATCTCACAAAGCTAGCATTAGGAAGTTTTGATAATTAGAATAATATTACACATATAAAACATTTAAGAAGGTGTCTTACTAATAATAGGTATAATTATACTGCATAAATACCAGTTTAATGGCTCATCTGAGGAGTATTTCAACAAAGTTAAACATTTTATTGTGAGAATTCTAGTAAAATACTCCTAGGTTAAATATACTCTCTCTCTCTCTCTCTTTCACACACACACACACAGCTCATGATGTAAATAATGTAATATGAAATAAGTTTGATGAATGAATTGAAAGTAATTAAATTATAAATAGAAAATATTTCTATTTTTTTCCAAACACTTGCTTCAGTCTTTGAAATCTTCCCACTGTGTAGTTGATTACTATAATTGCTTCTCATTTAAGCCCATAAATTTGCAATTATTTTTTTAACTCCAATCATATATTTGTTCGAAGTTCTCCTTCTACCTGCTTGGTGTGAGTGGAGACAATATCTGCTCTTATCCAAAGACCCCTTCTTGCACTTATTCCTCTCATTGGAAAGATGCAGAAGAGGTAAAAATGAAAACTCCACAATATTGGCAGAGAAACTCTTTTCCTCATTATGCAGGATGGTACTAATTCTCCAGCTAATACTAACTGATTTTCATTTACTTTTCTGTGGCTGATTCTCAAATGCTGGCTCCCTTAAGAAATAGATGTATGAGGGGCGCCTGGGTGGCTTAGTCGGTTAAGCGTCCGACTTTCGCTTAGGTCATGATCTCGCGGTTCGTGGGTTCGAGCCCCGCGTCGGGCTCTGTGCTGACTGCCAGCTCAGAGCCTGGAGCCTGTTTCAGTCTGTGACTCCCTCTCTCTCTGACCCTCCCCTGCTCACGCTGTCTCTCTCTCTCTCCTAGAAATAAATAAAACATTAAAAAAAATTAAAAAAGGAAAAAAAGAAATAGATGTATGATTGTATAGAGGGTATCACAGGACTTTGATCCTGCACAGAAGATTTAAGCTATCCCTCCTGTCTTTATTCCTCACCCATGCCTATTAAAATTATTACAAGAATATTTTTTTTTAATTTAAATGCTCCTCAGATGAGCCACTGATCTACTGACTGCGTAGCTTAACATTTGTTGAACAAGGGTGGTCTACTTAACGGGTTGTAGGTGGTCTACTTAATAGGTTAGTTTTGTTTTGATTCATGTTTTTTGTTTGTTCGTTTGTTTTTGTCACAGGGGCATTTTGCTAAGGAGGCACCTCACTTTGAAATAATGATAAGACAACCTAAGTTTTATACCAAACAAGATATTCCTTTAATCAGCGGAAAACCCATATATTCTTAACATGACAAATAGTGAGATACAGGCTGCCCCTTGGTATTCCTGCACTTGGCCAAGTTATCTTCTGGGTTTTCTCCAAGCCCTGGTCACCTCAGGACACTTTTGCAGTTTCACTAATTTTACATATTTAATTCACCTAAAGTTTGCTCCATTTTGCAGTCTGAATTTCATCTCATTGATATTAGGAAGACCACTTAAATTTTCTAAGCCTGTTTCTTTGTATGTAGCACACATGAAGGATACTTAATTCATGGAGTTTTAATGAGGTTCAGTTGAAGGAATATTGGATGGACTATAGGAAATTCAATTAATATTTTTATATATGAACATACTAAGAAGAATTAATCCAGCTCAAAAGCCTCCTTCTCTCAAAGAAGACTCTGGCCTACATGATCCTACCCCGCTGACCCCGTCAACACTCAGAGCACTCGGAAAAGAACACCACACACATCAAAGAGTACTGCAGCTCTGCGGAGAGTGAGAAGTGTTACTGCACCAATTTACTTCGGCCACCTTGATGTGTCCCTTCTCCTCACGACACTGGGCCTTCTCTGGCCTGGCTCCTCAGAGCTTGGGGACTCGCCTCCTCCTGTTTCCAGCCCGGCAGAGAGGAGCAGAGACACCAACGGAAACAAGAAAAAAAAAATTTAAGAGAATGAAAAGACAAGCTACAGACTATAATAAAATACTTCCAAAACACATATCCAACAAAGGACATGTATCCAGAAAACAAAGAACTCTCAAAACTCATCAGTAAAGACTATGGAGCCCAAATGTGCTTTCAATACTGTTTTTTAATAACAGGAGCCAGAGCTTCTTGGAGAAACAACTGATTCTAGGACTAAAACAGGACAAACCTGGAAAACCTTCTAGTGCCAGAAAGTAAGGGGAGTAAAAAAAAAGCCACACACACAATGATGATGGAGGTGTGTCAAAAGGACACAACTGAGAGAGCTCCCAATGACCAATGCAAAATAATTGGAGGAACAAAATAAATAAGGTAGTATTAGATCATAACATAAAGTATAAAATAAGTATTTATGAGTCCATACTGATATAAATGATTACACAAATGAACAAATAAATGGGAGAACAAATTTCCCTTGTAGGGAAATTCCAGATAATTTATATAGATAAACATTCTCAACGAGGTGTAGGATAACTCCCAATTTCTTAAGTGTGGAGCTGCATATAGGGACTTCCTTCCAAAGAGTGTAGTATGAAAAAGGGAGGAAAAAGTAATTTTATGGTGGAGAAACCCAACAAACACTACCTCAACTAGGTGATTAAGGTTAATGTCAACAATATAAGTTATGTTGACAGTATCTATACACTTATTATATGATGAGATGGGCACTTTCCATCTCTGTGGTCTTCCTCTCAAAAACCCACAGCCCCACTGCATATGAGAAAAACATCAGACAAATCCCAGGTGAGGGGCAGTCTACAAAATATTTGACCAGTACTCCCCAAGACTGTCACTGTCATCAAGTAAGATCTGAGAAACTGTCACAGCCAAGAGGCTCTTAATATATGATGAATAAATGTAATGCGGTATTCTGAATGGGATCCTGGAAGAGGACAACGAAGTCTGGTAAAAACTAAGGAAATCTGAAGACAGTATGCATTTTAGTTAATAAGAATGTATCATTATCGGTCCACTAATTGTGTCAAATGTACATCACTAATTTAAGGTGTCAATGAAGTGTGGTGTATACAGGAAAAAAAAAAAAGAAGAAGAATTAATCCAAATCTTTCTCTCTCATGCACACACATGCACACACATATGCACAAATTTCAAACCTATCCTGTATGTAATGTCTGTCAACAGCTTTATAATATAATTATAGGGTCATCACATCAATATAAAGTTAGAAAGTATAAAGGGAATAATATTTCATCTCCCACCAATTTGTTTTTCCTTTTGCTGATCCAGCTTCCTAGATTCCTTCTGTAACTTTCCTTCAGGGACAGGAAGGCAAATACACCTTACAGCAGGAGGAGGATGTGACTCTATTTGTTTTCTATTATTGCCACAACAAATTACCACAGATTTTGCTGCTTAAAACAACACAAATTTATTACCTCAAAGTGTCTGTGGGTCAGACTTGTCATGGATCTCCCAGAACTAAAATCAAGATGTTGGCAAGGTTTACTGGAGACTCTGGATCGAATCCAATTCCAGACTTATTCAGGCAAAACTCAGTTCCAAGTAGATGTAGAGCTGAAACTCCCATTTCTTTGCTGGCTGTCAACAAGAAATCTTTGCTCCTAGATAGGCCCCATCACTCCTTGTGCTTTCCAAGCGGCCTCCTTCCAGCAATAGTGAGTCTAGTTGGTCTCAAGCTTCAAACTTTGTCTCCTATCCATGCTTCCACATCTGTTTGACTTACTCATGTTCCTTCTTCTTCTGCTTTTCAGGGTTCATGAGATCATATTGGGCCCACCTGGATAATCCAGAACAATCTTCCTCTTTTGCAGTCAGCTGCTGAACAACCTTAATGCTACCGGCAGGTTCCCTTTACAGCAGCATCTAAATTACTGTTTGAATAATCAGGGGACAGTAATCTGGTGGGGGGGGGGAGGATGCATCCTTAGAATTCTGCCTACCATAATGGCAGTCATGTTATATACAAAAGGGGTTTGTATACATTAAAGAGGAAGAGGGCATTTTGTTTTTGAGAGGAAGTACCAGAGAGGGAGAGCAGGGGCCAGTTAGACCAGTTATTTTCAGGTATCTAAAAATAGTTAAAAAGGCTGGGAGAGATGGGTAGGAGGTCAGAAGCACAAGAAGCTTCTTGGCCTTTTTCATCCTCAGGCTTGGTACTTAATCTGAGTAGTGCATATGGAGCTACTACACTAAGGAAGGCTTGGGAAATCTGAGAACATCTGCAACATGCCTTAAGCAAGGTGAGAAAGTAATGATGGGGGAATATGCCTGGCTTAGCATTTATAGAATTCTCTACAGTGCTGTCTAGTAGAGGAAAAGCAGTCCAGAACCTATATCCTCTCAAAAAAAAAAAAAAAAAAAAAAAAAAGAATTTCTGGAAAGAGATTTGAGAGGAATAAGGAGTAATTTCTCTTCTCTTTCAGTATATTGTATCTTCCCAGGACTTGTACCTCTTCTGTAATGGGTACATTTACATGTTCTTTTCATCCTTGGTGCCCTTCAGCTTGGAGGAAAGAGCTGGAAGTTCTCTGAACCTGAAATGTGAGTAGAGTTCTCCATACTTCCATATTCTTAGATAAAGTTGTTAATGATAATTCTCAGAAACTAGGAAAATTTCATTGAGCACTTCCATTTACTTTGATACTGTTGATAAGGAGAGCAAGTAATTATTCACGGATGAGAACACTCAAGCATAAAGAAGTTGGCCAGCACATGGCATTCTAATCAATCATAACACCTGGAACATCACCCTTAATTTCCTCAGTAATCTCAGGGAGGTTAGGGACATTGTCGTTTTGCTCCATATTTTATTTCTGTGTCTTTATCATTTAATAAAGCCCATTCCTATCACCACTCTGGAGGTGGACATTTTATTTGGATTTTTCTTTCTCTACATATCATTAGCATAGGGGACTATTTTGAGAACTGATACATTTCAAACGAGCGTGTTTATCTTTACTGTGCCTGAAACAAAGATTTGCAAAGAACCTCGTATTAATTAGTGCAGGCCCACGTTAGGCAGGTAGATGTTATCATTCCCTTAATTGGAAAAGCAACGGAGGCCCAGAGCAAGAGGGCTGGATGACCACCCAGCCAGGGAGACATGGGTAGAAGAACACAGTGCAAGTTTTCTGACTCCCAAGACAGCACTTCCTTCACTTCACCACGTTCCTCAAGAATAAGCAAGCTGAAATGGTTGCTTTCACTTCTACACACCAGAGTATTTAATCAAAAAGGCAGACAAAAATTAAATCAGGGTATCCCTCCCAGGATACACACTGGCTTGTCCTTTGATGAGACGGAGAAATGCTGAACACAGAACAATCTCCTAATCTCCAAAGAGAGTTCTACCAGGCCATCCATGGGAATTATCAACATACTAACCAGCCGATACGTATGTGGAGGCAGTTGGCTACCCGGTACAGATTAAAAACACAGCCAGGTGGCATTGTGCTAATAAGGCTATGTACCTTGAACTAGAATAAAAAATGAGACCCACAAAATGCAGGATAGGGACACTTCAGTTGAGAGAACAAAGCATTAATGAGTAAAAGGGAGAAACGAAAACAAAACAAAAACCTTCTTGAAGTCTATTCTTCAATAAGGAACTGAAATGTGGCCAGTTCTAAAGGACAATCTGTTCACTTACCTCCTCTCCATTAAAGCTCCCCAGCAGCCTGCGGTAGCCTTTCCAATTTCTCAGAGGAAGAATCGACACTCGGACTGTGAGGCATGTACCAATCAGCAGCTGGACGTGTGTCAAGGCTTCCCCTGGGCAGGCTGGCGCTCTCCTGAAGATGAGAAGAATCCCAGGGCTGCCAGATTGGAGAAGCAAATCAAACTGATGTCGGTGGATTTGTTGTTGTTGTAAATACGAAGTGTTTAGTCATAGCAAAGTGAGGTGAAATTATAGAATACTAAGATCTGTGGACTAGAATTATATTGTCCTCAAATTTGATTGTGTATAGTACATTCTTTTTCCTCAAAGCCAAGTTTCTAACCAAAAGTTAATGTGGAAGATTGATATCATTATTTGGAAAATCAAAATGAAGAAAAACAATCCAGTTCCCATCTAAATACTCTGGGGAAAAACCAACAAAGAGTCCCACATTTGGCAATTTAGACATGCAATAGCTCTGCTTGATTTTGTAGACGGTGAAACTTAGTCATGTATGCACATAAGAAAAAAATAATTCCTATTCCCTTCTGTGAATGCAAACTATATTAAGGTACAGGGTTTTTGCTTCATTCATGATGATAATTAAGCTGCATTCATTTACTTTGCTGTTCAACTCTCATCATGGGTTTGAATTTTTTTTACAAGTAACCACATTAGTTTATTTTCTATCCCTAAGAATATATTTATGTACAAATATATTTTATATACCAATTTATATCTAAAATTAAGTAAATTTGAATATGTTTCTATTTTCTCCTTTATTGACCAAAAAATGCTTATATACAATAAAAACAATGGATCCTGAATATCTGTCCATCCCAGAAGACAGAGAACTCCTACAGCTACATTTTATTTTATTGTGAAGATAAAATCATGGTAAATGTAACTCTTCCCTCCCCCATTAATGGGCATGTGGGCTATTTCTAATTTATTACTATCACAAAAAGTGCCATAGGTGTCATCAATGTACACATGTTATTTCCCTTTCTTCTTTTCTTTTCTTTTGCTTCCTTTCTTTCCCTCTTCTTTTGTTCATTCCTCCCTTCCTTTATCAATCTTAGCTGAATTTCTTTTTAAGTTTATTTATTTTGAGAGAGAGAGAGAGCAATAGCACATTTGCACATGCAAGCAGGGGAGGAGCAGAGAGAGGAGAGAGAGAATTCCAAGCAGCCTCCAAGCTCCACACGGAGCCCAACATGGGGCTTGATAACATGAACCGTGACCACATGACCTGAGCTGAAATCAAGAGTTGGCCATTTGACCCACTGAGCCACCAGTTGCCCCTCAGCTGAATTTTTTTTTTAATGACTTGAATGCAACTAGTGTAAAAACATTTTCTTTTTCAGTAACTACTCAATGCCTGACAACATGATGCCTAATTGAAAATGACCTATTCTTTCAAAAGACTTTTCTATATATCTGGGATGACAGAAACAAAAATAAATACTTATAATAAGAGAGATCTTAGAACTGAGTTACTAAAGTACAATGAGAAGACAGATAAGAAAGCAATTCAGGGTGAGGAATTATGTTAAGTGGGTCAGATAAAACATAGATGGAGGTAATCTATTGAGCTGGGTCTTTTAAGATAAGTAAACTCAGTATTTTATATGTAAAAGAGAAAAACTTTTCCTAGAGTTCAGTGGCCTTATTAGATGAGAGTATTATAAAGATTACAATGAAGTAATGTATAGTAGGAAGTGGCCAGTGAAGAGAATTATAATAAAGATTGTATTAGGTAGGTGTTGTGAAACTCAATAGAGAAATGTGAATAAGAAGAAAAAGACCAGGTGGCTGTACAGAAAGAAAGAAAAATGGCTTGTGATTAGTGTAGGCTTTCTAGGTAGTGGGTCAGCTAGATAGATTGGTAAGAAGGCATCAGTAAATGCAGAGAATTCAGCAAACTAGGTAAACTAGAAAAAAAAAAAGGGAAACAAGAAAAACTGATTTTGCTCTACTGAAGACAATGATAAAACAGAAAGAACTGACTATGTCGCTTATAGCTTCTCCTTTGCCCCTTAACCACACTAAGCCTTTTGCCTGCTGTGGTCTATTTCAGTATTCTTGTTTAGAGAACAATAACCACCCCCCCACGCCCCAAACACTACTCATCATTTTGAAAGCTGAAGCTACATAGACTTGAGCAGAAACTTTTTTTTTTAACAGGAGTTTTTCTCTAAACATTCAGTTTACATAACTTACATAAAAGAATTTGACTACAGTGACAAAACTAATGCTATTTTTTAAATGGGTCACATTAACTGAGACAAGATATGTCACAACATCAGATTTAGTCTGTTTTAAATTAATTAAACAAATTATCTTCAATGATTCATGTATTCTTTCAATTCACCAAAAATTTTTGAATGTTGATGACATGCTTGCCAGAGAATCTTCTAGGACTAATGGATGTATATATATGTATGTGTATATATATATATATATATATATAATAGGATATATATGTATGTATAATCCTATTATATATAATTATTATTAAATACAAATTATAAATATATATTTACATAATCAATCAGCCTATAAATGTATATACATATATATTTTATATACCTATGTATACCTATAAATATATATAATATATACATATATATCTATATATGTATACAATGTATATACATTATTATATGTGTATATATACACATATAATATGAATTATTTTGAAAAATTATAAAGCTAAGTAAAAGAAATTTTAAGAAATAAGAAAATAGCAGTTTTATAGAGAATTTGCCAGAAAGAATTCACTGAATAGATGATAATTGAGTGAAGAAATGAAGCTGATGAATCAATAAGTTATAAAATATCTTGGTAGGAACAACCACTTAGAAGAGCAAAGGCTATAGTGTATTCTAGGAGACTGACTAGTAGGGTCTAGATGTCCTCAAGAGTCCAAACAGCTAAAGCAAAGTGAGTAGAAAAGAGAGCCAGACATTAGCAAAGAAGGATAATAGTGTCCAGATCAGAAAGACCTGCAAATCATTTTTCAAATCATTATGCAGACTTTGAGTTTTATTCTTATTTAGATGAACAGTCACTAAAATCAACAGAGAAACAACGTTATCCATCCTACATTTTAACAGTGTTATTGTAACTGCTATTGAGAATATACTGAATATTCAAACAAGAAGCAGAAAAACCATTTATAGGACTGTTGGGAGTCATTCTGAGCCCACTAGTCAAGAACACTCCTTGTGAGATTAAGGCAAGTTTGCAAGGCTATTGCCATCAGATGACGAACTGATATCTGCCCCTACTCAATTATTTCTGCTTGAGCATTTACCCCCAAGGTACCTTGTTGATTGGTATCAGGAGTGACTTGTTCCCTTATTCTGTCCTTGGTATGATGATTGCACCTTGTGAAGGAACTTATTGTGGGAACTTCTTTTATGATTATGGGAACAGACATCGTGTCTCCAGCAGGTTCTGTTTCCCTCCATACTTCCCTTAAGCTATGAACAAGCTAACGACCCTTACTTATAAAAGACTGACCTTTATGTGTACAATTCTGTTCTACCATTACATTATTCCAAGAGGTTCATACAGTTCAACATGTAAATCAACTAACCAAAAATGTTTCTTCATGCCCTAGCTATTCAAAAAATCATAGACAAAAAACTAAACACAAAGGTAAATGCTCTTGAAGAGGCTATTCTATGTATTAGAAATGAGCTAAACTCTTTAAAGGTACAGTTGTCTCTCTGATGCCATAAGGAATATAACTGGACAATTAAGTCTTGCCCAGAGACAAAGAGCCTAACTTAGAGAGAAGGGACAGATAAGGGCAGAACCTAAGTTACTACATATACCTTTGCTAACTGGTGATGTATAGCAGTTCCTTCCCTAATGTCTACATTCCACAAACACCTTCCCTTACACTGGTAGCTATGATGAGGATGGATAAGAGTATCTACAAACCTATGACTTAATCTTAGCATTATTAAAATGTGTATGTTATCCTGTTTTTCACTAAGAACACCCTGTTATTTTCTTAGTTACTCAACCTCACTACATTTGGGGCAGTTCTGCAAGAATACTTCTGTAAAACCTATTTCTGTACACTTTCCAAAGCATCTTATCACAGAGAAATATCCATTGTAAAAATTCCATTTTCTGATGCCATGTTATCATTTGACCTATAAATAAAGACACCAAAACTGACAGGACAGAGATATCTGCCTGGTGATCAGAAAGAATCTCGGGGCTCTTTCACACTCTCTCGCCGACACCATCTGCAGGGACCCCTAGACTGGCTGGAGCTGGACTCCAGCATAGGACTACTGCAAGAGTCAAGGTGTCTGTAATATAGCTTGGACTGGAGGCATTGCAATGAAGGTAGTAGTAGAGTTATGGAGAAGTAAACAGATTTTGAATTAATGTTGATTAGTATTCTGCTCTAAACTATACTAAGCTCATAGAATTGTTAATGGGTGGCATATGAAATATCACAAAAGGCAGAATCAATAAAGGCTACAAATTTTGACTTGAGCGATTAGAAGAACAGAGTTACCATTTAGTGAGATGGCTAACACTATTCGGAGATGGAGTTAGGAGGGAATATCAAAGACTCAATCTCTAAACATTAAGTTTTATTTATTTATTTATTTTTAATGTTTTCATTTATTTTTGAGAGAGAGAGAGAGGGACAGTGTGAGCAAGGGAGAGTCAGAGAAAGAGAGAGACACAGAATCTGAAACAGGCTCCAGGCTCTGAGCTGGCTGTGAGCCCAGAGCCCAATGCGGGGCTCGAACCCACGAACCGTGAGATCATGACCTGAGCCAAAGTCGGACGCTCAACCGACTGAGTCACCCAGGCGCCCCTAAATGTTAAGTTTTAGATGCCTATTTAACATCAAATAGAGTTGTTAGGTAAATAATTAAAAATATGAGTTTGTAGTTTAGGGCAAAAGTCCAGTCCAGGCTAGAGATTCAAATTTAGAATTCATTAGCTATTACATATTTGTTCCAATTATTTCCTTTAAATGTAGCAGACAATGCTGGAAAAACAGAAATGGTCTTGTCTGCAATGAGTTACAGCCAGATTCAAAGGACATAATGTATGTTAGTAAAATAGTAAGCAATCAATTCCAAACTCTCATGTCTAATAGATATCTAAAATAGC